TTAAATTTATTAATGAAAGATTATAAGTGCAATAAAGAACTTCCTAAAATGTCTAACGTCAAAAATCAACATAGAACAAAAAAAAAAAAAAAAAAAGTTTTGTCTTTTTGTTATATTAAAACGAAAAGAAAAGTACATAAATGAGCTACTTGACCGAATTGATTGCTGATGTGTATCAGCGCTGATCAATTAACGTTTCCATAAACTTGTCTATTATATGTTCAGTATTAAAAAGCAGAAATAAAGAAATAACAGGGTATAGAACTAGGTGAGAGTAAGTCAAAAATGAGGTATATTTTCAGAGAAAAGACAAAAAAAAAAAAAAGATATCATCGGGAAGTTTTTTTGGCAACTGTATAATACTATAGATAAAGTTTATCTGCTGCAGATATGTTACAATTTAATCTGTATCAGTTATTGCAACGAGATATTCATTATTCACCTGAGTCTATTTTTCATTCATTTGCAATGTATCAATCAATCGACCAAATGCGTAAAGGATCTAAATATCTTTAAAACAATACCACATCGGTTGTAAGATGTGTTTGGAGCAAAACAAAAAAAAAAAAAAGTAGAGCAAACATCACTTTGTTAGAGATGAAAAAAAAAAACCAAAACTTTTAATAAAAGTTTTTTTCTTTTTTTTGAAAGATAACTGATAGTTGGAGTAACAAATTGCTCGCTTGCTAATTGTTATTCTTTATTTATTTATTTTTTTTTTCAACAACTGAACATAAAACGAAATGTTGCCAACAGATTTGCTGCAACAATCGTTCAGATTGTTTACAGATATCTGAACTGAAGTTTGAATTATAATAAATAAGCAGATTAAAAGAAAAAGTTTACAAAAAAAAAAAAAAAAATTTAATAACTTGTCTATAACAATTATATAACGCATATATCTGTTGTCAACAACACAGATTATATACTGAATAAATGTGCAAAATTGAAGATAAATTACAACATAATTTTTAGCTTAAAATAGATGTTTTTAAAATGGAATTTTTTTTTTTTGTTATATTTATAGTAAAGAATAGAAAAATAAATTGAGGAGAAAAAAAAAAAGTTGTCAAAAACAGAAAGAAGTCGCACATTTGATGTGTCGTTGTATTCCGTCTGATGGTGAATATTGTAGAACAACACTAAGGAAACGTTGCTTCAAATCTACACATTTGACTGCATATTTTTCAAATTTTATTCTCGTTTTTAATAATTAATTTAACCGATAAACAATAAAAAAATTGTTGCTGTATAAAGAAAAAAAAAA